TAAGCTTTATATTGAACAAAGAGGCTTTACAATGCATATAGCTTTACAACTTCACTCTCTTGGAGCAAAGCTATCAACCTACCTATCTATTTATAGGTAAAGCCATTCATAATGGATGGCTAGGATCAATTTGATCCAACGGTCTATATTTCCTCTCTAGAATTCTCTACAATTATCCATACTAAGATATTTACAAAGAATTAACTAGGAGTCTCTAGAATAATCTACAAGTGTTAGACTTGCTAATTATCTAGAATCATCCATGATCTTCTAGGTGGTTTCATGTTCCATCCTTATCTAGAACCTTCCGGATTAGTCTCAAGACACCCTTGTTCTAGATAATTCCACCATCTTTGTTATGAAATGCGCGGGTCGTGACACTCTCCCCCGCCTAATTGGGCGACGTCCTCGTCGCCGTGTAGTGCTTCAGTTTGTCCTCGAACTGCCACAAGTCTTCTTGTGCCTCCCANTATGAAACGAGCGGGTCGTGACATGTAGCTGCCTTCAACAACTACCTGAAATTAACCAAAAAAAACAATCGAGCATGCTGGCTGGGCTCAGCTCGGCTTGGCTCCGAGCCTAAATTTTACGGCCGAGCTTTAGCTCAGCTTGTGCAAAAAAAGCTTGAGTCATTTTTACTCGAGCCGTGTCCGAGCCACGAGCTTCGCTTGACTCGTTTACATGCTTACATCTAGGTCCTGAATGATTATAAGGTACCAACTTTTGATTGTTAGCATCTGCATAGTCCTTTTTTGGATCAAATACATCAGATGGTAATGTGAAGAAAGATGAAATTACATATAACCAGATTTTTTACATTATCGTTTCAAAAATCGGATTTAAAATTTGTTTATACAAAAATGAGATGATAATTCAATATTAATAATAATAATATAAAATTAAATTAAATTATATACTCTCAATACCTCCATCTACCCCACCAAATATCATCTCAAGCCCTAATTATTTTTCATATTCCTTCCCTCTCTCTCTCTATATTCTCTATATTCCATCCTTTCTATATCATCTCTATCAACGTCGTTCACATTGTCTCTCTCTCCTCTCACACTCTGGTAGCGGTGCCTCCACCGGAGCGTCGCCTCCTATATAGCATCTTCTCGTTGTTGCACTGACTCCTCCTGCAATGACACATCTATCTTTACCATTGTGTAGTCTCCTTTCCAGTAACGGCGCCTTTGTCTTCGTTAATGTGTATGATAGCTCAAGAATAACTAATCAAGAGGGGGATGAATTGATTTTTAAAACTTTTTCAAAAAATTAATCTATAATCAAGTACATAATAACTAGATAAATTAATTTAAATAATAAGCACGAAAATGAAGGTAATAAGTAAAGATGGATAGACTCTCCGGCACGAGTAAGGACAATTTCACTATATTGATTGACTTGTGGTACAATTCAATCATTTACAAAGCTTTCAGTGACTTACAAACAAGGAGCACCAATCATTTTACAACATTGAGCTTTACGAGACCTCAACACGACCCCACAAGTTTAAAGAGAATTGATTTTATAAATTGAAACTTCTCTCTTAATAAATAATATGATCACAATTAAGCACAAAGAGAGAAATAAGCTAACTTTTAATAAATAGAAATGTATGAAGCTCAAGTGTCAGGTATGAAAAATTTTGTTGTGTAGAATGATTTTCAAAAGTTGATTTAATCAAAAGTTTTTTAAAGTTAAAACAACTTAATAATAAATTAAATGAGAAATCAATACAATTTTTGTTCAAAAATATCTCACTTGAATGCTCTTGAATATGTAGAATTGAATATAAAGTGATGTGGTATTTATAGCAGTCAAAACGCAAAAAGTTCTGACCAATCGGATGACTCCCACTAAACGTCCGCTATCGATCGGGCGACTGAAACTAGCCGTTGTGCGTTAGAAATCAGAATGATTAGAATTTTGATCGTTGGAGCCACTGGACGTCGACCAGCTCCACCGGACGTTCGCCAGAGTAGAAATTTCTGATTTTCTATTTTCTTGATTATTTTAGCAAGTGTAAATTCTTGAGGGACACATTCATTTACCTTTTCAAAATAAAATA